AATTCAGACTTTGTCAAGAAGAATGAGACTGAAAAATAAGCAAAAGTTATTTTTAACACCTTTATTGAGAAATCATATATCATACAGCTCACCCATTTAAAGTATACAGTTCAGTGGTTTATGGTACAATTACAGAGTTGGGCAACGATGATTACAATCTAATTTTAGAATATGTCTATCACTCCAAAAAGAAACCCCATGCCCATTAGCAACCACTGCTCATTCTCCCCTGCTCTCAAGCCCTTGGCAAGCATTAATCTGCTTTCTGTTTTTATAGATTTGTTTATACTAGGCTTTACCTATCAATGGAATCAAGAATATGTGGTCTTTTGTGACTTATTTCACTCAGCATAATGTTTTCAAGGTTTCATGCAACCATGTTGCAGTATATATCAGTACTTCATCCCTTTTTATGGCTGAATAATAATCTGTTGTATGGCTAGACCAAAGTTAATCCATTCTTCATTGATGGACATTTAGGTTGTTTTCACTTTTTGGCTATTATAAGTAATGACTCTTCGAACATTTGTGTACATGTGGTTTTTTTTTTCATGCTATGCTTTATCTTTTTTTAAGTTTTTATTATAATTCCAGTTAGTTAACATACAGTGTTATATTAGTCTCTGGTGTACAATACAGTGATTCAACATTTCGGTACAATACCCAGTGCTCATCCCAGCAAGTGCATTCCTTAATTCCCATCACCTATTTTACCCAAAACCCCACCCACTTCCCCTCTGGTAACCATCTGTTCTCTATAGTTAAGAGTCTGTTTTTTGGTTTCCCCTCCCTCTCTCTTGTCCCACCCTTTTCTCATTTGTTTTGTTTCTTAAATTCTACATATGAGTGAAATCACATGGCATTTGTCTTTCTCTGACTTATTCACTTAGCATTATACTCTCTGGTTCTAGCAATGTCATTGCAAATGGCAAAATTTCATTCTTTTTATGGCAGAGTAATATTCCATTGTATATAGTAAGCACCACTTTACCCATTCATCGATCAAGGGACACCTGGGACATTTCCGTATCTTGGCTATTATAAATAATGCTGCTATAAACATCAGGGGGCATGTATACCTTTGAATTAATGTTTTTGTATTCTTTGGATAAATACCTAGTAGTTCAATTCCCAGATGGTAGGGTAGTTCTATTTTTAACTTTTTGAGGAATCTCCATATGATTTTCCACAGTGGCTGCACCAGTTTTCCTTCCCACCAACAGTGCAAGAGGGTTCCCCTTTCTCCACATCCTTGCCAGCATCTGCTGTTTCTTGTGTTGTTGATTTTAGCCATTCTGACAGGGGTGAGGTGATGTCTCATTGTAGCTTTGATTTGTATTTCCCTGATGATCAGTGACGTAGAACATCTTTTCATGTGTCTGTTGGCCATCTGTATGTCTTCTTTGGAGAAATGTCTATTCATGCCATTTTTAAATTGGATTATTTGTTTTTTGGGTGTTGAGTTCTATCAAGTCCTTATACATTTTGGATTTTAACTCTTTATCAGATATGTCATGTGCAAATATCTCCTCTCATTCTGTAGGTTGCCTTTTAGTTTTTTGATTGTTTCCTTTGATGAGCAGAAGCTTTTCATTTTGATGTAGTCCCAATAGTTTATTTTTGCTTTTGTTTCCCTTGTTTGAGGAGATATATCTAAAAAAAAGTTGCTATGGCTGGTATCAAAGAGGTTACTGCCTGTGTTGAATGTCTGTTTTTCAATGTGACCACACCATTTTACATTTCACCAGCAATGTATGAGTATTTCAATTTCTCTGTATTCTCACCAACACTTGTTATTGTCTTTTTGATCATTACCCATCATAGTGTATGAAGTCGTATCTCACTGTTGTTTTATATTTCTTTAATATTGAGTATCTTTGCCTGTAATATTATCCATTGCATATATTCTTTGGAGAAATGTCTATTCTGATCTTTTGCCTATTTTTTACTTCTTTTTGTTATTGAGTTGTACCAGTTCTTTATATATTATGGATAAAAGACTAATATTAAATATGTGATATGTGAATAGTTTTCTGATTATGCAGATTATTTTTTCACTTTCTTGGTGATATTGTTTGCAGCACAGAAGTTTTTAACTTTGATAGACTTCAATTTATTCATATTTTCTTTTGCCACTTGTGCTTTTGGAGTTCTGAGTAATCTTGCCTAACACAATTTCAAGATGATTTACTCCTATGCTTTCTTTTAAGCATTCTGTAAGTTTTTTTGTAAATGTAATTCTTACATTTAGGTTTATAGTCCTTTAGTTAACTTTTGTGTGTGGTGAAGGGAAGTAGTCCAACTTCATTTTTTTCTGTGTGGATACCCACTTGTCCCCACATCATTAGTTGAAAAACTATTCTTTTTCTATTTTTTATTGTCTTGGCACCTTTACTGAAAATTATCAGATCCTAAATATGAGGGCCTCTTTCTTTTTTTCTTCCCAATATTTAATTTATTTATTTGACAGAGAGAGAAAGGGCACAAGCAAGGGGAACAGCAGGTAGAGGGTAATGCAGGCTCCCTGTCAAGCAAGGAGCCTGATATGGGACTCAGTCCTGGGACCCTGGTATCACGACCTGAGCTAAAGACAGACGCTTAAAAACCTGAGCCACCCAGGTGCCCCTGAGGTCTTTTTTCTGTACTTTAAATAGTAATCTGTTTATTTACATGTCTGTCTTTGTATGTGTACCACACTGTCTTGATTACTGTAGCTTTGTAATAAGTTTCAAAATTGAGAAGTGTGAACTGTCCATCTTTTTTCTTTTTAAAGACTGTTATGACTATTTTGTGTTCCTTGCAATTTCATATGAATTTTAAGTTTGACTTTTCAATTTCTGCAGAAAAGACAGCCAGTATTCTTATAAAGATTGGGTTGAATGTGTAGATCAATTTGGGGAATACTGTCATCTAACTACTAGATTTAGATTTTAGACTAAATAATCTTTTAGATTTTATTTAATTTCTTTCAACATTTTGTAGTTTCAGTATAAAATTATTATATTTCTTTTGTTAAATGTATTCCTAAGTATTATGTTCTTATTGATGCTATTGTAAATGGAATTGTTTTCTTAATTTTGTTTCCAGATAGTTGATTATTAGTGTGTAGAGATACAAATGATTTTATGTATCAACCTTATATCAGGCAGTTTTGTTGAACGCATTTAGGCAGGTAGTTGTGAGCAATATGAGAAGATCAGTAATATGCCTGGGATTACAAAAGAAATAATTAGATAAATCAGGACTAGAATAATAGGTTACTATGTACTGAGCATGTTTATGATAGGTTAATGCTTCTCAAACTTTAATATGCATATAAATTTTCTGGGAATCTAGTTAAAATGCAGACTGTTGTTAGTGGGTTTGGGGTAGAAGCAGGATCCTGCCTTTCTAACAACTTCTCAGTAGATAGCTGGTAGCTTTCATTTATTAAGCCAAAACTATGCAAGATATACATTATTATTCCCATTTTATACATAAGAAAATAAACTCTAAAATTGAGCATATAACATAGGTTCATAGAGTAAGTGGCAAAACCAGGACTTGCAAACTCTTCATGTTAATGCCAAAGCTGGACACTTCCCATTCTATCACACTGGCAATCTGGAATAGGAAGAGATCACTTGGGATAAAAATGATGTATATACTGAGGGAAAGAGTTCAGGGTCAGAGGTGCTGCCTGGAGTGCATTTGGGTCTAAACCTTGAGGTTATCTTGGAGAGTGGATCAGTGAGAACTGTGCTCTTCAGGTTGCTGAGAGGCGAAGTGTGAGACTGGACTATAAGGTAGAAGATGATGCTAGTAGACAGAACACATAGCTGGAGGTGATCTAGAAAGTGTCCCACCTCTCTGTTCAGGCTAGACTCCAGAACTGGACTCTGTACTGCTGAGGTCTACCTTAAGATTACACCTATCGTTGACTCTTCCTGAATTCTAAATTATTTTACTGGGGTTAATGAATAGTATAGCATCAGTGTTATCCCTCAGGGACCAGGGTAAGAGTAGGGATGTGGGTAATGCTCTGGTCAGATGGTTACATATGAAGGATTATAGATAGGTAACCAAATTCCTTTCCAATATTTTTCAGTAGAATATTAGAGAATTTCCATCACCTCAGTCAAAACACTTGAGATAATCTTATTTTTTTTGTCCTTAGCACCCTTTATTGAAGTATAACCCTTGATGACAATCTGGCAGGCATATCAATGTCAGCCAAGACAGGAGTGGTGGAGGACACAATCGCAGAAACAATTAGATTCAGAAAAATAATAGCTTCACATGGCATAGATGACCCCCAACAGCTGTACAACAAACACTGGTTCTTAATCTATAGAAATTGCCCCCTGCCCCACCCCCCTCTAAAGATCTACTAATCTTCAAAGACTATAATACACTGTTACAGAACTGTTACTGGCATAGACAGCTCCTTTGGCAAAGACAGTGGAGTCACCAAGCTCCAAACAGGAGGAAGTGGCCAGAAATGTGCTCAGCTTCCTCCATCTGGGACTTGCTATGGGCAGAGCAGCACTTTCAGGGAGACTGGGGTTCAGGTTGTGGTTCTGGTGCCCCCAGGGAAGCTTTCTGACACAGGAGGTTAAATGGAAAACAGAGCCTGAACCTGGACTTGAAAAAGTCTTTTTCATCTTTCATCCTCTTAGCTCCTCTGCATCCAGTCTCTTCCTTTCTGGGTTTTGTTTTTAGTGTGTCTGTCTCTCTTGGGTTCCCCTTGAGCATTTACCACTAAGCCTTGGCTGAGTCTGTAGCTGGTGGGACTCAAGGAGACTCAACTACCCAGACAGAGCCTGGGGTTGGGGTAGAGGGGTAAGAAGGGACAAGTGATAGTAACCCTTGCATGGATTCCTCTCTATCAACCTATTACCCACTGGGGCCTGTGTGAGTATTTGAAGAGAGAGGACAGAAGTCAGAACCAATAACTCTCTTTGGGGAAATCCTCTGGCCCACCTTCCACACTGCTACCCACCTCAGACCTTGTGAGAGGGTTGAGCCCAGAAAATGAGAACGGGGGAGAGGCACTGCTTCTCAAATAATACTGGCAGCTCTGAAGCACCATCATTCACATCTGTAGCTTGGGGCATTAGTTCCTGTTTAGTAGCAGACTTTTGTCTGCCAAGCTTTACTGCTCAGTATAGTTTTGGGGTTATTTTATTAAGTGCTTTAGAAACCATCCTTCTGGTGAAAATGAGCATCCTTTTGTTCTGATTCCAACTCTAATCTCAGGTGGGATGAGGGACAAAAATAACATAGTCAATAGTACTTCTAGAGTGATAAATTTAATATACAACCAATCTAATGCTGACTAGGAAAACCCGGAATGTGGTCTTTGTGTCCAGGTACTCTTTTCCCTGTGCCTGTGTTCCCTAAAAGCTGTTTTAGCACCACCCCAAATCTTAGAATGATGGATTATGTTGGCCTCAACCACCCCCCCCCCATACAGGACATCTCAATTTACTCCTTATTTATCCTAGAGCCTGTTTAAGAAAAAAAAAAAAAAGGATGACAACAGCAGCCTCTATTCATAGCACTCCCCCACCTTTCTCAACCTTGGCTTGGGTAAACCTAGCCCTTTACAAGCCATCAGCCTTCCTGAATAGCGTAGACTCCTCCACTTAAGGGAGAATGGCAGGTTGACATTTTAACAGTGGTTCTGATAGCAGCAGTTCACTAAGAGCATACCCAGGGACCCCCTCAGGACACACAGCTGGCCAAGATTCTTCCATTGTTTCCAAATACAATGAAGAGGAAACGGAAGCTAGAGAGCAGTATTTGTAGCAGCAGCAAAGTTCTTTGGCAAATTCTTTGGCTGAATGAGGCATCCCTGCTGCTATAGTTCACCTCCAAGGACCCTGGGGAACTCAGCAGTAACTAGAAGAGATGTCAGGGCTTAACTGGGCAGGGCTGTGCAACAGGAACCAGGGGCTCCAGTGAGCGAGGAAGAGGGTATGGAGCTGGATAATGGGCTGGAGTTTGGTCACAGCTCCTTTCCTGCTGTCGCCCACCTGAGGGATTTTCCAATTTTCTAGGACAGGACCTTGGCAACAATAGCAGCGTTCATTGTGTGTGTGCCTAAGATCCTGGCTGGGTCGTACATTGCTCTGGACAGGGGTGGAGGGGTGGGGTTGTGGGTTGGGGGGTTGTTGGTGAAGGGGTGGCCCTGACTGGAGCTTCTAGCTACCATGAATTTCAGTTCCCTGGGTCAGGCCACAGGCTGGAAAAAGGAAATGTGAGATGGAAGATCTCTTCCTGAGCTCTCTGCTACCCAATTTCTTAGGTGGGAGGTGGTAGAGAAATGGGTAAACCTTTAAAACTTAAACCTGTTGGGGAATGCTAAGCTTATGGTTATCCTGATGTCAAGGAAAGTATAGGGCCAGGCCAAAGTAAGCTGAGTTCAAGGTGAAAACTCCTTTCATAGACCCTTGTAAACTTCAGGCGAAGAATTCAAGACTTTGGCTCTTGTGGGGTTGGCAGGGGCGAAGAATTTGAGGCTTTGGCTTTCGCTCATCTAACCTTGGTGAAATTCAGGCTGATCTATAGAAAACACCTTCCTTCTGGGATTACTTTTCCCTCTCCGATTCCCCTCTTCTCACCTTTTTAGTTAAAAAAAAATGAAAAAAAAAATCAAAACATAAAAATAAATAAAATCAAAAGGTCATTTAAAATACAACAAAGAACCCCTTCCCCAATAATGAAATGTGTATGCAGAAGTCAGCTTTAGTGGAGCTCTTAATGGCCCATAGTGTGAAGACCTTAGGGTAGGCACCTATAACCCCCAGCAATGAAAGGCAGGAAGGGACAGGATGTGGTAGGCCAAAAATCTCAGGACAGGAGGAAGGCCACACTGGCCAGGGCTGAGAGTAGGCCTCTTTCCCCCCTCAATCAGCTGCTGGGGAAGGTGGGGATGGAGCTGATTCGTGTAAGCCTAGCTTCTGCAGGGGCACCTAGGGATGCCCAGTCTTTGCTTACATTCTGTTTCGTGTAATTTCTTCTTCTGTGCTTCCCACTGCAAAGCTTACATGAGGCCCTTAAATTGCTGGTGAGTGATACCTTCGAGATATTCAGATCTCTGTGGGAAATGGCTAGGCAACGAACTTTGGGCAGGATGGAGCTACATAGGCAGATTCTCTCTGAGCCTCGAGAGGCTGATTGTGGTGTGGATGGGTGGTGAGTGCATGATGTCTTTGGAGTCCTGGTACCAAGAAGAATGAAGACATTTTTTGGTTCTGTGTGCAGTGAGTGCTTGCCTATGCAAACCGTGGGAAGGAGAGTGTGGTTGTATAATCACACCTTGCTGCAGGCACCTCCTGCTTCTTGCTTCTCCCTAGGGTAGAAGTTTGGGGCCTCCTCAGGGACTCCTAGCTGGTTGGGGCATTGCTAGGTGAGGGGCAGTGACAGATATCCAAGGTAGAGGCTATGGAACAAACTGCTAACTAACTGCTATCTATTTGCTAACAAACTGCTAACAAAGGTTGAAAGCACTTCCCATTTGTCTGGGCAGGGACAGCATGTCAGTCTACTGGTGGATTAGAAATTGCTGGGCCCCAGGAGTAGGCTCTCCCTGAGACATTTGAGCTGCTCTTCCCCAAGCTTGATCTTCTCCTCCAGCTCTCGCTGTTCGATGATGAGAGCAGATTTCATCTTCACAAAGTGCTGGTAGTCTTGGAGCTGGTCCTGAGGCAGGTAGCGGGAGACCATGCCAAACACCAGCTTCTCCCGGCGGTCCACATGCTCCTTCAGCTCCTTGGCGTCTGCCAACTGCCCTGTCAGCTGCTGCTTCTTCTCTATCAGCACCAACTGAGGAATCAGATAGACCAGTTAAGAGCCATCCCAGTTCCCAGTCGGCTGCCTAACCCATGGCTCCACCAGGAACGCTGCTGCCAACAGCTCTCCACTCTGCGCTAATTAATCATCCCTAGACTTGCTGCCATGAAGTCCACCTTCATGCAAAAGCCCTTCTTTCCTAGAGCAGGGGGGAGGATGAACACAACAGTGATTCTGGACGGGGCGATGTGCATTCACCCCTTTCCATCCCTAAATGGTCTTTCATCCATGGACCACCACCGGGGTTTGGGTGGGGGAAGGCTCTGACAAAGCCAGCTCATGCCCCTTCCATCCGGAGAACAAAGATCACTGTGATGGTGCTTTCAAAATGGTGTGTGTCTCTGTGTTGGTGTACAGGTGTGAGTGTACATATCTGTGTGTGTACACATGTGCATATGTGCCTCTTATTGTGGATTCCAATTGGTATCCCAAACCACTTCTGTGTGGAAAGGTAATGCACTTTTGGGTCAGGGATATATGCAGAGTGGCCCAACCTGTGAAACTGATAGACTCCCAATCTCAGCTACTTGGTGAGACCTTGTCCTCCAACTCAGAGAGAAAACGAGGTAAACTTGCCACTGCTGCTGCTACTACTACTATTACCACCAGCACCACCAATACCACCACAACTATTCCTACTACTACTCTTACTACCACCATCAGTACCAATACTACTATTACTACTGTTATTACCACTAACGCCAATAATACCACCACCACCACCACAACCACTACTACTATTACTACCACTATCACTATCGATACCACTACCACTACTTCTACTACTACTACTACTACTACTACTACTACTACTGCTACTACTATTACTGGCAGGTAGCACTCATTCAGCTTTTACCCTGTTCCAGGCCCTGTTTTAAGTAATTAATATGTATTATGTTATATATTTATTTAAGATTTTATTTCTTTGAGAGAGGGAGAGCACTGAGGGAGAGTGAGAGGGAAAAGCAGACTCCCCACAGAGCAGGGAGCCCAATGCAGGACTCGATCCCAGGACCCTGGGATCATGACTTGGGCCAAAGGCAGATGCTTAAATGATTGAGCCACCCACATACTCTGGATTATCTAATTTAATTTTTAGAACCCCATGAGGTATAGGTAGTGTGTTTTTGAAGAGACTGAGACAGAATACAGTTAAGTTGCCCACAGTCACACAGTTAATTGTTGGTAGAGCCAGAATTTCCAAGCACTTAAAAGCCAGTGCCCATACTATGCTTTATTGTGTCCCAGATAAGCCAAACTTGAAAGAGGGAGCCCCGAGGAGGAACAGATAGCATATCCCCCATCTAACCCCCCAGAGACCCCAACTCTACCTTCTCCTGGTTGGCCTCTGAATCGATGCTGTTGAGAGCATTCTCCACCCGGGCCAGTCGTCCAGAGAGGGACAGCAACAGGTTGACCACTTTGTCCAGGTCCCCAATAAACAAACGGTATTTTTCAAACTCATTGGATTTACAGACTGCTTTTAGGTTGGCTTCCACCTCCTCCCCAAGGGCAGAATTGGCACCAATGTCCTCTAGCAGTCCTCGCTGGGCCTCCCGCAGGACAGAAAGCTTTCTACTGATGCTCTCAATAAGCTGTATCTAGGAGAAATCAATAGGAGAAGGCAAAGGATGAGAATGGGGACTCACAGAAACTGATCTGTGCCTGTAACCTCTGTTTTGGGATCCCTGAAAAAGATGGTAGACTCTATGCGTCCTCAGAAACAAAGGAAACCCGAGCAAGTCATGAGAAATTCCAGTTTTCTGGACAGGTGTCCTCTCTCCCACCTATTTCTTCAGATCTTGTAGGACTCTGCCACCACCAAATTTCTTGGCATCAGGTAAGTGGTACCCATGGACTAATTCTCATTTGCCAAATGTAACTTAATAAATACTTGCTGAGACCACTTAATAAATAGGAATTGGAATGCTTGTGAGAGCATGGGTTGGAAAAGCATTGTCATCAAGTGTTTGCCTTTGGCTTCATGGATTGTCCTTCAATCCACTCAAGTACCCCTTCTGTGCATGGCACTGTGCTGGCTCTTTACCCCCTCTCCGTTTGGCTTTTGAGGCCTTTTGGATAAGACTGTGGGTTCTGAAGTCCCCATAACTAGGTCTGACTTCTAGTTCTGCCCCTTCCTGGCTGTGTGACCTTGGGCAAATTTCTTCATGGACTTTTACACTCTTGATTGGCAGAATGGGCATAACTGCAGTACCCACCTCGTTGAATGAGATAATATGTGCAACGGGCTTAGCAGGGACTAAGTGTTTAATAAAGGCTGGCTGCTATTGCTGTCATTCAGCCTGGCCCCACCCTACCATTCCAATCTCAAGATTCAAACTTTCAGGATTTGCCCCTTTCCATCTGCATTTACAACACTCATCCATGCGTTCTTGATTTGTTTTATGCAGTTTTACCTGCTCTCCATCTCTTCCTTCACTTTGACTAATCCCCTTCTTTCTTCAGAGCCCAGCTTTGCTCCCACCCTCCCTACAGGAAGCTTCTGCCTCCATAGCCCTTCCTTTCAATGATCTCTTTTTCTGAACTCTCCTGTCTTTCAGAAATAGAACACTAGAGTGTAATTTGAAGTTGTTCATTCCCTGTTTTACGTGGGTGCATCTGATCCCTCTTCTACTGATGATAAGTTTCTTTTTTTTAAAGATATTATTTATTCATTTGAGAGAGAGGAAGAGCATGCATGAGTGCACGACAGCACAAGCACGGGTAGCAGAAGGCAGAGGCAGAGGGAGAGAGAGAAGCAGGCTCCCCACTGAGCAGGGAACCTGATGCTGGGCTCAATCCCAGGACCCTGGGATCATGACCTGAGCCGAAGGCAGACCCTTAAACCGACTGAGCCATCCAGGTGCCCTGATGGTAAGTTTCTTAAGAGAAGCACTTCCTGTGTCTTCTGATCTGTCTTGCCTCTGGGTGTAACCAGTTCTGGAACTCCACTAACAGGAAGGTAGTGTAGTAGAGCAGCCATTTGGAGTCAGAGATGCCTAGATTCCAATTCCACCCCCTCCAAAGTGTGTGACCTTGGGCAAGATACCCAATCTCATGGAGTCCTCCGTTTCCTCATCTGTAAACTGGGGAAGCTTCTCTTCTCCTACCCCTCCCCACCACCATTGTGAGGGTTAAATAAGATCATAGAAGTAAAATGCTTCATATTTTGCCTGGCACCGTAAGTGCTCAATACCTGTTTAGTATTGCTGCTGCTGCTGCTGCTGCTGTTGTTGTTATTATTATTATTTATTATTATTATTATCAATCACACACTCTGAGCTAGTAGATACTTTCCTGGTGCACAGTCCTAACAAGAACTGAGCTGCCCCAGGTTGCTCACAGTCTCTGCTCAGCATCGCACTATGGTTAAGGGCATGGACGCTAGTGCCAAACTACTTGGGTTTGAACCCCAGTTCTGCCACAAAGCACCAGTGTAACCTTGAGCAAATCACTCAACCTTTCTGTGCTTCAATTTTCCCATCTAAAAAATGGGATAACAATAGTACTTACCTCATAGTACTGTTCTGAGAATAAAATGAGTTAATACAGGTTACACACTTAGAACAGTATCTTGTATCTTGTGTATATATATTGAAGTACTCTTCAGTGTTTGTTTGTTCTTTTCATATATATATATATTTTTTTATTTTATTTTTTTTTAGGAAGAGCGAGGGAGAGAGAGTGCACACGAGCAGGTGGGGAGGGGCAGAGAGAGAATCTTAAGCAGACTCCACACCCAGCATGTAGCCCAACACAGGGCTCTACCTTATTATGACTCTGAGCTCATGACCTGAGCTGAAATCAACAGCTGAATGCTTGACTGACTGAGCCACCCACACACCCTGCTTCAGGGTTTGTTTTATTATTACTCACACCCGGGCACTGTGGGACCACAGGCTTGTTGTTTTCTAGCATGTGTTCCTTTCTAGTAGTTTATTTAGAAATGTCCAAGGAGAAGTGTCCAGGAAATGTCCCAAGAGAGTCTGCTCTGGGTCCAGGGCCTGGTATCTATTTCAGAACTGGTCAGAAGTCAGGAGATCACCATGATCTTAAGACTGAAGCATCATAGGTTTACATGTAGGGAAAATTCTAAAACCCACTGGGAATTAGGAATCAATGCTACAAATGACACGACACAATTAATTAGATGCCAAGAGGGTCCCAGTTATACCTCTCCCCTTTGCTTTCCCAAACAAAACTCAATGCCAGGGACAAGGGAGGGCTGGGGGCCAAACGATTAACTTGGAAAATCACCTACCCACCATAGCTCTTGGGTTCCATCGTTCCATAGATCTGGAAGGATGCAAATGAAGACAGCCCTTTGTTCTTGGCACCTACCTTTGCAACCTGAACTTCAGTCCTGGGGAAAGTGTACTGGATAGAGCTGAGGAATCATCACAGACCCAGCTACAGCAGGAGTTGCTTTTCTAGGATATTGCAAATTGGTGACCTTCTTCACCTGTCTTCCTCAGACAAAAGCTGTCCTAGCTTCCCCACAATCACTTCAAATCACTACCTGCTATTCCGTGCTTTGCCATTTCTGGTAATTTTTCTCTTTTCCTGGTCAGACTCTTATTAGCTTTGCTCCTAATAAAGAGGTCCCGAGTAAGCGGGAAGCAGCCTTGCCATGCTCAGGGAACACAGAAGCCAAGGAGGCAGGCATCTGAATCAATACAACTCTGATACCACCATGCTTCCAACTCTTTCCCTGACATTTTGCTTCAGATTTGAAAGTGGTGGGGGGTCTCCTGCAAATGGCGTTGAGCTTTCCTACAGGTCATGTCCTGAATGAGAAGCATGGGCAGAGGAGCAATTTACATTGAGTTCAGATGTTCACAAACTGGTAAATTAGGCCTTTGTGGTTACCATGGAAACCCTATTTGCTTACGAAATAAAATGGGTAAGTGCAGGGAGGGCAAAGTGATTCCAGGAATTTGATTAGAAAACTAGCCTAGTGATGCTTACAGGAAGAACAGGGAGGCTTTGCAGCAAAAAGATCATTTCTATCACTTGTTCTACTATTTTTGAGAGATTATGGATTATTCTTGCAAATAAATACTAACATTTACCAGCCTCTATTTTCTCCTTTTTTTTTTTTTTTTGGCTTAGTCAGTCTATTCCCTCTCCCAGAAAGTGATACAGAGAATACAATCAATGCCTGCTATTGGTTTGAGCTTGCTGGCAAAACCTGATGTGCCATGGGCAGCAAGTTACTTACAAGGCTGGCTAATTTCAGAGGGACTGCGTGGTAAAGTAGAAAGTGTGACAGTCTTGACTTCAAGTCCTGGATATACCAGTAGGTCTATAACCCTGGGCAACCTAGTCTTCTTAACTGGAAAAAAGGGGATCACTGTCTAGTTGTTTTAGGGACTCGAGAGACACAGTGACGATGATGATGATGACTTCTATTACTATCATTACTCTTATTGGCTGGATCAAAAAGAGACCGGAGTTGCATTTGTGAGGAACCCAAAGAGGCTAATTTGATGTCCATAGTGAATGGGGACAACTTGGTACGGGGATGTACCAAGTTGTTCTGGAGAGTGTAGAGGGCAGGTCAACCTCCAACCACACAAATTAAATGCTAAAAATCTAAGACATATTGGAAAACTTCACCTTTTTTTGAGCCAGTTCATGGTCAACTTCTTCCTCTCCCAGGCCAATCTCTGCCATTTCGGGTTGGTCTTTCAACTTGTTCAACAGTTCTGCCTTGGCCACAGAAATATTGTAATAGGCTGAGTAAGAGGTAGGCATGCCTGGGGCCCCCAGAGGAGGTGGGAAGTGCTGAAATTCTTGTCTGTGGAAACAAAGAATGACCATTTGAACACCTCTGTTGAGAGGCTCCTAAACTTTCTGCTTCTTAATTTCCCCATTTGTGAAAACAGGACCCTGCTTCACCAAGGAGCTATGGAATAAGGAAATGATGGACCAGGAATCACTGTTGAAATGTCAACCAGCCACATGAAGATTACCCAAAAGCCAAGGCAAGGCCAACTTTGAGAACTTAGAAGGCTATTTCTATGCCCCTGACTTCAATAGGTAGGGGAAATTCTTTAGGGATGATTTGGTTTGGTCAGCGCCCCACTAAGATCCAGAAAGACTAGGAGGCTACACAGTTCTGAGCTTCTGATTTTCCATGATTCCCTTCAGTTCATGGCCCCGGCATATAAATCCCCAGGGAGGGAGGAGGTAGCAGGGATATATCTGAGACCTTAGCTATTCATCCTCCAAGACTGTTGGCTTCCCTCCTGCCCAGGCTGCATTGCTGCTCTCTCCAGCTCTATCTAGTCTACTTGCTTACAGAGGCACCCCACAGCTTTCCTGGACACTCTCATAATTTATTCTTTCCCAGTGGTGCCACTCCTGATTGACGTGGCCCGTCCGCAGCAGATCACCCATAGCAAAGAGGACACCCGTGACTTCAGCAGTGGTCACCATGCCGGAGGCTGGGGTTAACACCCCTGCCAGGGACTGGTCACAGCCTACCACATGTCTCATGAGCTCTTCTGAGACTGCCTGTGAGGCAGGCCTTCAGTCTGGGAAGGGATAGCATCTCTCCACTTTGGGCATATCCCCAATGGCCCCAGCCTCCTCCCTGGTTGCAGAATGAAATGGGGAAAAATTGTAACCCGTGGCACCCAGGGGCTTGACAAGTGTAGCGGCAGACCCTGTTGTCTTGGGTTCACTGAAGCCCGTGGGGCTGAGGTGCTGCTTCTCAGAGCCCCAGCCCACGAAAGAGAACTGCTCCTCAGGGAAGAAGTAGCTCTGGCTCCACGCTGGCTTGGGTTTGGACTCTTCTGCCATCGATGCTTCTGGTCTGGTGTGAGGAAGGAAATAAAGAGAAATGCTTTAATGTCAGGTTTCAGTGACAGAAGGGCAAATAATTCTACCCATGGCTTATGCAACAGGGAGGCCCACCCCCACTATATTCTTGGAGCTTACCAGCCACCCCAACCCTCCACCTGTCTGTGTCACTGACCCTTTGCTAACCTCTAGCTATTTGAAAGGAAAAATAGGAGAAACTCATTAGTCATTTTTGCAGCTACTTGCAGCTCTTAGATAAAGGTCAAAAATAATGGTTAAAAGGCTCCACAGCTATTTACTGATTCATGCTATGCTGCCTCCTAATTCATCACACAAAAGAAACTTGGGCATGCCAATATTCCTCATCCAAGGTATTCATTTTACCTGTGGGTTTTTAAGATAATAACACTAATAAACGAACAACACTAGCTAATATTCAGACATGGCTTACTATGTCTTAGAAGCTGTCCTATGATGTGTTTTTCTGTATGTGAGGGGTGTATGTGTGTGTGTGTATACATAGAGATTAAAAATGTAATGCTCACGACAACCATTTTACAGATAAGGAACATGAGGCACTGAGAAAGTGGAAGAGGAAAAGTGACTTCCTCAAGGTCACCAAATAGTAAATGACAGACCCAAGATTTAGACCGAGGCACCTAACTCCACTATGTCACTATGCCATCCTGCCAAAGTGACAACCTGACATCATATAAAACCTTGCATGTAAGGAATTTTCTGGCTGGACTAGATCTTTGTTAGCAGACAAGAGAGAATATTCTGGAAGGAATATGAATATATGAACTTAGGGAATTCTTACCTATAAGAAAAAATATATAGGACATGTGTGAGAGAGTTCAGAGTCAGAAAATGCTGAGAGAAAGTACAGAATTAAGGGGAAAAAAGGGATATGGCTGCATGTCACTTATATTTCAATAAAACTGGAAATATTTTTTAAGGGATATGCTAATTATAGACTCAGATCACAGCAGACACAGCCCTGTACCATGTCACAGTGTATCATATTAGGCATTATGTCTTAGTGCTACTGTCCTCATAACCTCCACGGACAAGGCAGAAGTTACAGGAAATCTAAGAAACATAATCTGCATTTGATAAGGAACACTGAAGCAAAAATCAGATTCCTTCTGCAGAGCACTGAGAGGAAATGTATAGAGCTCAGAGAGTAAACTATACCTGTACTCAAGCCAGAGTTAGGAGACTTAACACTTGAAAATTCCACTAACCTGCTTTCCTATGTATCCTAGCATTTTGTAACTGAATAGTATGTGGGTTATGGAGATGCTCTGGTTTGACCTGGCTGAAATTAGCATGTCTTTTTTTTTTGCATTTTAGATTCAAAATACAATACATCTACCTATCCCTAAGACTCATCCCTTAAAAAATCTTAAAGCAACTTCCTTCCGGTTAGAACCCTATGCTCTCCCAGGGTCTGGAATATGATCTGGAGGAGTCCAGAGATCCTGGGAGGATGTAATGGGCACAGTGAGCCACACGACCTGGGTTCCGACACCCTGTGATCTTTAGTTCCCCTGTGCCACACATTTCTCACCTACAAGATGTAGGACACTAATGGTATCTATTTCATAGGCTGGTTGTGAAGATTAAATCCATCAACACACAAAAGTGCTTAGAACAATGCTTGGCACATAGGAAGTAGGCAAAAAAATATATTATAACAAGACAGGAAACAACGTGTTGTTGGAGAGGATGTGGAGAAAGGGGAACCCTCTTCCATTGTTGGGGAATGCAAGTTGGTGCAGCCACTTTGGAAAACAGTGTGGAGATTCCTTAAGAAATTAAAAATAGACCTTCCCTATGACCCTGCAATTGCACTACTGGGTATTTACCCCAAAGATACAGATGTAGTGAAAAGAAGGGCCATCTGTACCCCAATGTTCATAGCAGCAATGGCCACAGTCGCCAAACTGTGGAAAGAACCAAGATGCCCTTCAATGGACGAATGCATAAGGAAGATGTGCTCCATATACACTATGGAGTATTATGCCTCCATCAGAAAGGATGAATACCCAACTTTTGTAGCAACATGGACGGGACTGGAAGAGATTATGCTGAGTGAAATAAGTCAAGCAGAGAGAGTCAAGTATCATATGGTTTTGCTTATTTGTGGAGCATAAGAAATAACACGGAGGACATGGGGAGATGGAGAGGAGAAGGGAATTGAGGGAAATTGGAGGGGGAGATGAACCATGAGAGACTATGGACTCTGAAAAACAATCTGAGGGTTTTGAAGAGGTGGGGGGTGGGAAGTTGGGCCAGCCTGGTGGTGGGTATTGTGGAGGGCACGTATTGCATGGAGCACTGGGTGTGGTGCATAAACAATGAATTCTAGTACACTGAAAAAAAAATAAAAAAATTTTAAAAATATTAGCTTTGTTGGGAATAATGCTGCTCCTTAAATCCACACCATTCAAAGAGGCATCTATAACTGATTCTCTGCAACCACAGCTAGCTAGGGCTGTGTGCAAACAGATGTTTCCCCTTGCATCCTATAGTCATTAAACAAAATAAATCTCTGGAACGGATTACAAGATCTCTAGTAATAGCAATTTCCTTCTCTCTGGCCAAGGCACCAAGGTGAATGGAGGTACATAAAAGGAGGAAGGAGTAGGAGGCTGAAAGGGGCAAGTCTGGGGCCTGTAACTATGACCACTGGGACCCTCTGCCCTACAGGGGCCCAAAGGCCTCGTAAAGGCCCGGCTGGTTGCAAGAACAGGATCTTTCTGAGAGAGGCTGCCTAGGATGGCAAATGAAGCATAGGTTTTAGAGCACGCAGGTCTAGCTTTGGGATCGGAGTCTGTTAGTCCCTTATTTTCCTCAGCTGTAATTTCTTCATCTGTCAAATGGGAATCATCTGTCAAATGGCCCGCAAGGCTATTGGGGGTTAAAGGAAATCAGGGGGATAAAACGACTAGCGGTGTGTGGCCCACAACAAATGCTTAATACCCGTTCAGCTATTCGTTTATCTGTTCTGTCTTCTTAAATGTTAAGTGTCTACTCTCTACTAGGTCACCTTCCCTTCTCCCTGCCGGGACAGGAAGCGACCACAGTCACTTTCCACTAAGCATGTTCTCATCACAGTAAGAACACTCTCCAGCTAGATGGACAGCTCGAGAAGCAGCCATGAGGGCTCCAATGAGAGATTCTCATGGTGTCTAGGAGCTAGCTGGGCCCTGTTGCGCTGTGCTTGTTGACCTGGTGCTGGAAAACTCAACTAGGTCCAGGCTGCCGGGTAAAGGAGCTGTGGGTGGGTAAGAGACAGGAAAACAAGGTACTTCTAATAGCAACAGTGTCTCAGGCCTGTTCCATCTGTAAGGGGATTTGAAGAAAGCACTTACAGTATAGACACTTGCCCCCCAGCCGCTCCCCCAGCAGAGTGTGGGCTGAGCTCTCTGCAGGACGCCCGGCAGAGCTGAAGCCAGAGCTCTTCTGCTTTGGAGCTAAGACGACAACCACCAGGCACTGTATGCCATGCTGATGAGCACAGGCACAGGGAGACAAACAGATACCAGCAGCCCCATGGCCAGACTACCCTCCTGCTTGGCCTCCCTGTCCACCCCATCAACTGCTGTCTATGGCCCACCAAAGCAAATGCAAAGAGGCAGGGTAACAGGGCTGGGGGTGTTGGAGAAAGTGGAAGAGGCAGCTAAGAGTGACCTTAACTGTTGTAAGGAATGGTGAGGGCATAAAGCGCCCAGCCCCAGGAACAACTGCGGGAGGAGTTTCAAAGCCCAGACAGGTCCTGGAGCAGAGGCTGGTCAGGCTGTGAGAAGGCCTTTCCTTCTAGAGAGTGAACAAAAGAAAAGGCAGGAAAGAGCCTGAGCCAGGCTTTGGGGAAATGCCAGGAGGCAACGACGGGTTTAATGTGTTCTGGCTCAGGGGCCTGACACTGATGCATATCTTAAAGGCAAACTGAGAAATAAGATAGTATTTGGATAGTGATATTTAAGAACCTCAACAACTACCATTTACCAAGCACCTACTATGAGCTACACACAGGGCTCTCTACTTTATAGAGCTTGTCTTCATCTTAATGACAACCATGTGGAATGGGTATCATCATGCTCGTTTTCCTGGTGAGAAAAATGTGAGGCTGGAACAGTTTAATTACTCGGTTAATCCAATGTCACACAGGTGGTAAACGGTGGAGGTGAAGTTCAAACTCATGCTGCAGCCGTGTTGGGGACCTGTTTTTCATAAGCACTTACTTGGGGGAGTTGGCGATTTCCTTCTCTGATGTCCTCCAAAGCCCACCCGTACTGTAACAGCAAGGGGGCTGAGTCTTCTCAGGTTGAGATCCCAAGTGGCCCCTCACTGGAGGCAGGAAATCGCTGGGTTGGAGACCAGAGGACTCTTGTTCTCCTGGGTGGCTCTGTGAGCTCTGCTTCGAAGCCTCCGAGTGGCCAAAGCCCAGGGGTTGTGGCTGCTCCAGGACCTCTTCAGGATGGAGGGCACTGCTACCAGTGGTTTCTGAACTGAAATACTGGGGGGGCAGCTCCTCCTCCTCCCCTTCCTCCTCTCCCCCTTCCTCCTCTTCCTCCTCTTCTCCCTCTTCTTCCTCCTCTTCCTCCTCCTCTTGTTGCTGCTTCTGTTGCTGCTGCTGCTGTTGCTGGGTTGCCCGGAAAAGCCTGTACTTCTCCCAGTTGGGAGGAGGAGGGCGAGGAGGAGGAAAGGCCTTCTTTCGGGCTCCCAGAGGATCCCGTTGGGTCTCATCAACTTTGGTAAAGAGCTCCCTCCTATGCTGCCCCCAGGCCCCAGAGCTCTGTGGCTCCAAGCTGATGTGACTCTCTGAGAAGGCACGACTCCGCAGCGGGCGGGGCATGGAGGCCATGGAGCTACCCTCCTCATAAGTGGAAGTTTCCTCTGTTTCTTTCGAGGAGTGCTTGAAGTCTCCGAGAAGGTCAAGGGAAGAGATCGCTCGGTAGCTTGACAAGTCCAGTGCTGGGTTCTCAAGGCAAGGATGGAACGGTGTTGCCCAAGACAAGCTAGCCTTGGAATGAGCCATTTCCCTGCAAAACAGTAAGATGGAGAGTGTGTAAAACAAGCAAGATTCAGATGGCCCAATGTTTTGGATAACATCATTTCTGCAAACTTCAAGATGGCCATAGAACAATGCAAATATACATAGTAAATGCAATCATAAGAGTAGTAATACTAGCACTCAGTATTGATAGCTAACACTTAATCAAGTATGTACTAAATGCCAGGCACTATTTTAAGTGCTTTGTGTCCTAGTAAATATTCACAAATGACCCCAGAAGCTAGCTATTATTAGCATCTCAATTTTATAGCCAGGAAAACTGAGGCACGGACAGGTTAAGTAACTTGCTCCGGGTCATAAAGCTGGTAAGTGGTAGAGCTAGGATTTGAACCTGGACAGTCTAGCTCTAAAGACTGGAAACACACAGTACCCCATGCTGTAGCACTCCGATTGAATGTGCTGTTAACTGGGGCTTACAAGTCTGGTTATTCTGTTATATTGTTTTTGTTTGCTTTGGTTTTAATCATGAAAAATGTTAAATATTTAGAAACATACAGAGATTGCTATAATAAATATTCATGTTCCCACCTACTGCCCAGGATTAGCACATTTTAATACTCTGCCATCTATACTTGGTGTTTTTTTTTTAAACAAATACATAATACCCTTTGTTTTCACTCCCCACTTCTATTCACCTGCTAGTTCTCCTGATGCACGCTGTATTGTGAATTTGACATGCTTTCTGTCCATGTTTTTATACTTGTACCAAAAAATATCAAGTAGGCAATTCACAAATATCTACAATTTTGGGTTTAAAATAGCTCCTTCTAATGCAATTCTAGTCAGAATTCTCAACAGCAATTTTTAACGATAACCTTTATTAACTTGAAACTTAAAGTAAGATATAATATTGAGAAGTATTTTGCTACAGAAGAAGTGGGGGTGAGGGATTAGGCATATTATAAAGCAATTATAATTAAAACAGTGTGTTACTGATTAATAGAACAGAATGAAAACCCCAGAAACACATCGATCTATAAAAACATCGTATTTAATTCACCTTCTATAAGAAGGAGATAAAGAATGATTTTTTAAGAAAATATTTTTGGAGGGGTGCTTGTGTGGCTCAGTCAGTTGAGCATCTACCTTCGGGTCAGGTCATGATCTCAGAGTCCGAGGATCGAGCCCTGCATCGAACTCCCTGCTCAGTGGAGAGCCTGCTTCTCCCTCTGCCTGCTGTTCCGCCTGCTTGTGCTCTCTCTCTCACTCTTGCTCTATCTTAAATAAATAAATAAAACCTTTAAAAGAAATACTGTCTTAAAAATTTTTTTTGAGATAACTGCAGAACAGCAATATTTGCAGCTGCACCCTCTATTATGTACCCAAATAAATTCCAGATTCAAGAATTAAGGGTGTGTGTGTGTGTGTGTGTGTGTGTGTGTATTTTAATGTATGTGTTATATGTGTATATATGTATATATATTCTATGTTTATAAGAAAAAAAAAGTATAAACAGATTAAAAGGACTGTCACTTGTGAGGCAAAATGAGATTCTCATAAGCAATTGAAAAAATATCCAAAGAAAGAAGTCCAGGCTAATTTAAATAAGTGTAAAAATGTGCATAAAAAGTCAAGTTTCTGTATAATAAAGAGTGACCAAAGTCAAAGGAAAGCTCTTTAGTCTCAGAGTATAAAGAGTTAAGCCTCTAAACCAGAAGATCTGGTTTCCTGCTGTAGCCTGTGAGCAATCAGCATCATGCTAAGTACTGCCTAGTGACAGGAAATTCCAGAAGTTCAATTAAATCATCAGACAGAATACCCATTCAATAGTCATACTGAAGACTGAGAATATTTCTTTTAAAAATAATCATATACATAATGGTAGCCAAGCTCAGAGAGAATGAAGAACCAAATCTCCTTCAGTGAACTCATCTCCAGTCCCCATCATGGCTAGCTCATCACTCACATGGATCAGAAATTCACCTTCACACGTCCATCCACTATCCCTTCTTATTTGGGTCTTTGCCCACCTATAGTTCCTTAAGAGTTTAAGTTCCTCCTTGTGTGCAAAGTGTTCCACCTGGCATTTTCTCCAGCAGGGAACAAACAAGGTGGTGAGTAGAGAGTAAAAGGTTGACAAATGCTATCAGGCAGAGGACTTTCCTGACCTCCTTATCTAAAATAGAGATGGCTTATCCTTCTTTCTTTTGTGTTCTATCCTTTTTCTTTTGTGTTCTTTCTCAGAACACACATCCCCTCTTAACATTATATCACATACCTACTTTTACCTGTTTATTTCATGCTCCACTCTCTAACTAAAATGTAAGCCCCATGAAGGCAAGGATCTTATGTGTCTCATTTATTTAGTACCTAGTGCCTAGCAACACAGTAGGCATTTAATAAATTTTAATAAATGAATTAATGAATAGAAATATCGTACGATCCATAAATTCCATTGGGTACTTACCCAAAGAAAACAAAGACACTAATTTGAAAAGATATCTGCATCCCCATGTTCACTGCAGCTTTATTTAAAATAGCCAAGATATGGAAGCAACCCAAGTGTTGTCAACAGATGAATGGATAAAGAAGATGGTATACACACACACACACACACACACACACACACAGGGATATTACTCATCCATAAAAGAGGGTGAGATCTTGTCATTTGCAACAATACAGATGGACCTAGAGGGTATTATGCTAAGTGAAATAAGTCAGATAGAGAAAGATAAATACCTTATAATCTCACTCATATGTGGAATCTAAAAAACAAAATGAACAAATAAATAAAAAAGCGGGTATGGACCCATAAGTGCAGAAAACAGTCTGATGGTAGCCAGATAGGTACATGTTGGGAGAGAGGGGATGGGCAAAATGGGCGAAGGGGAGTGGGAGATACAAGGCTCCAGTTACACTTGTGAGCACAGCATAATGTATAGACTTCTCAAATCACTATGTTGTATACCTGAAGCTAATGTAACTGTGTATCAAGTGTACTTCCATAAAATAAATGGATTCATGCCAAAAATGAAAAAAACCCAACAACCATGATATTCATATCATAACAGAGTAGAATTATTTTTTTAAAGATTTTGTCAGAGAGAGAGAGAGCACAAGTAGGGTGGAGGGAGAGGATCCCCACTGAGCAAGAGGCTGGATGTGCGATTCGATCCCAAGACCCCAAGATTATGACCTGAGCTGAAGGCAGACACTTAACCAACTGAGCCACCTACAAAGTAGAATTAAAGGCAAAAATCAAATAAGAAGACAAAGAGGGGCACTATAAATTAATGGTTAGAACACATGATTAAGATCTAACTACCCTAAATCTTTATGTGTCAAATAACATAGCATCAAAATTCATAAAGCAAAGCCATAGGAAATGCAAAGGTAGAAAAAGGGAGCAATGAACTATGAGGCTGTTTCAGCTGATGACAGATATGACAGTAAAAACTAAGATAATGGGAACACTTAAATTTCTCTCTTCTCAAGGGTCCATTGAACTGTTCATTCTTAAATTGACTCCATATTAAGCCAAAAATGAAAGAAGTACAAATAATGATACCTAATAACAACATAACAACACAAGAAATTAATAACAAAAATGAAAGACAAAAGCTTCTAGTACATAGAAAATAAAAGGGAAGAAAATATCCCCCAATATAGTCAAAAGAAGGGATCTGATCTGAAATTGAAGAATACCTAAAAAATAACAATGAAATATCAGAAGCTAGAAAATTTGACTGAATAAAGCAGTGGTCACAGGAAAATCTGTAGCCTTCAATGCTTACATTAATACATAAGAACAAATTAAGATCAATGAATTAAGCATTGAACAAAAGATGTCAAGAAAAGAGCCACAAAAATAGACCTAAGCAAAGCAGAAAGAAAACTAATGGCAGAAATTACTACACTGGAAAACAAATGATAGAATTAATAATTAAATCCAAAAGCTACTACTTTAAAAGAAAATATAAAACAATAAAAAAGATAAACCACTTGCTAATCTAATTAAAAACCCCAAATGCACAAAATTAGAAATGGAGAAATAACCACAGTTGCAGAGTAAGTGAAAAGAGTAAGAGAATACTTTGTTCTACTCTATGAAAACAAGTTAGAAAGCTTAGGATGTTTTTCTAGGAAAATAAAAGTTACCAAAACCGATTGCAGAAGAGTGGAAATATTTAAATGCACCTGTTATCATAGGAAACAATGTTGATAAATTTGACAAAAAAAAAAAAAGATAGCACACTCACATGATCTTGTGTTAATTCTACCAACCTTTAAGGAACAGACAACCTCAATGCTATTTACACTTCCTAGACTCTGGAATCTATTGAGGGAAAAGAAAAGAATCCTGCATAATGTCAATACCAAAACCCAACAACTAGAATATACATAAAGACAAACGAGAAACCAGTCTCATCTAAGAACACTATTGCAAAAATGTCACCATTTTTGTTTTGCATTTAAAAATATAAATATTGGGAAATTAGTACATATAAGGGATTTATTAATAAACTACCAGCATATACTGAAAGTGCATGCTCCAAATTCTTTCTGAAGAGGGTGCATGATCCAAAAGAGTTGGAAAACACTGGTCTGGGACAGTTGTTTCTAATCAAAATGGCTCTTGAGTGAAATTACCCAGAGTGGTTGTTGAAAATGCAAATTGGTGAGCCTCCCCCACCCCAGAAATTGGGATTTAGTACCTCTGTGGTGATGCCTGGGAATCTGCATTTTTAACAACTGCCCCCAAGGGATTCTAATACAAGTGGTTCTGAGACCCTACTATGGAAACAAGCGTCCAGGGTGAAAACGATGGGAGGGCTACAATTTGGGATGGAGACTGGGGGACAGAGTTCTTTGTTCCAGTTAGGTTTGCTTTCCCATCTATTTAGCCTGTCTTTCCCCCATCACCACACAGCTTCCCACCTTCTTTCCCTGCCTCTCTCCCTTCTCTGCCTTCATCTCCAGTCTAGCTGCATTACGAAATGCAGGTGGTGACAGCAAGGTCTCCAG